TATGATTAACAAGGTACTCAGTTCCATGATATCATTTTCCTTGTTTACAGTAGGGATACAGAAAGTAAATAGTTTTTGAATGCAAAATGAGTTAATGAATAATACATTATTTAAAGAAGATTGCTGAGGGTTTTCATGGCCAAGGAAAATGTTTTGTTTTCATGTGGTGTGTGTGTTACTAGTGACTGAACCCAGGGCTTTCCTGCTAAGCTACATGTACAACCCTTTTTATTTTTTGTTTTGAGATCAGAGTCTTGCTAAGTCACTAAATTGCCTGGCCTAGGTTTAAATTCATAATTCACTGGCCTCAGCCTCCCAGAATGCTGGCATTACAAGGTATGGGCCATCATGCCCAAGCCAGGGAAAACTATTCAGAATGTATAATTAAACCTTAGCTTCAGAAGATCAAATCAATGTATATAGATGGAAAGGTTGTAAAAGTATTTTTTTAAAAAGAGGTGTTTTTTGTTTTTTAAAAGGCAAGTTGTAGGAAATAAAGTTGGCAAGGTAGTCCCAGTCTGTCATTTTTAAAATTTAGGGTGTGGTACTGGGGATCAAACCTGGGGCCTTGCAGTGAGCTATATATCTCCAGTCCTTTTAATTTTTTAATGACAGGGTCTCACTAAAGTTGTCCACGATGACCTCGAACTTTATTTTTCTATCTCACCTTCCTGGATTAGCTGGGATTGCAGACATGTGCTACCATATCGGTCTTTATTTTTCTTTGTACTCTGTAAGCTCTGCTGTCATTTGTTTGGAGCTTATCACTTATTGGACATAATTTATCCTCTGCTGTACACAGTGATCCCTCACCTATCACAGGAGTTACGTTCCAGAGACCCGTGTGATAGGTGAAAATCCCTGAAGTAGTGGTATTATATTTATTATTTATATATATTTTAAGGCTTTATAAACCCTTCCCATACTCTCATAAACCTTTCTCACTTTCTTATTAAGCGTTCCCACACTCTTATAAACACTTCATATGCTTTTAAACACTTTTTATACTCTTAAACCTACGTAATTTTAACAACATGTAAAATTCTATATGGGGAAAAAAAATTCTGTATGTGTACTCACCAGTGAAGTATACTACAACTTAAATGATGAAGATCATGAATTATGTAGCTGTACTGATGGCAGTGAAGGTGATGACGATGAGATGAATGTACTGCACAGCCAAGAATAGCAAGGAGAGATGCTGAACATATGGGTACAGTGCAGGAGAGCAAACAGACCAATGCTAACGTCACTGAGCTAGTTCAGCGCCCACGATACAGAACCCAGTGCTATGGTTGGTCGCCTTCCATTCCATCAGCCAATAGTGTGCCGTGTACAATCTCACATTGGCAAACTTGTGCAAGTGGTAGTGGCATTCTATATTTCCATTGTGTACAGTATGGTATTCATCCACTGATGAAATACATACTGTATTTTATTTTGAATTAATATTCTTTTAATATATTTGAATTAACATTTTTAAAATTTTTGTTTTAAATTTTTTAGGCAAAAATAATTAATTTTTTTGTTTTTTGTTTTTTTTTCTGGTACTAGAAATCGAACTCAAGACCTCGCACTTGCCAGGCAGGCGCTGTGCCCCTGAGCTAAATCCCCAGCCCCTAGGCAAAAATAATTAAAATCATGAATATTATATGAATACCTATATACTGCAAAATCCCATGATACAGCAAAAGCTCTGCGATACAGAATTAGATACATTTTTTTAAAAAGCCGGTGATACTGTGAAGCCGCAATAAGTGAACTACAATATAGTGAGGGACAACTGTAAAACGTAGTACTGCTTAAGATGATGGTAGCTCAGTGAATATGTTAAGATTATTATCCCCTAAGAATACCAGTTAATAGGGAATACTGTGCTGTTGACAAAAAGAGAGATACAGGAAGAAGAAGCAAAGTAATGAACTTGATGTTAGACCTTTCATTTGCTTGTGTTTTATTAATCTGAATTATGGACCTTCTACAAGCTGTTTTGTTTCTAGAACTGAGATCTCAAAAAACGATTAAATTTACTAATTAATGATTAATGGAATGGTAGGAACAGAATTTAGACTTAGATTAAATTAAGGAACTGGTTATTATAATTGGAAACACTCTTTGTGGTACCTTCACAGGATAGAATATTTATGCAGCTGTTAAAAATGTCTTTAAGGGGGCTGAGTTCAATAGTAGAGCACTTACCTAGCATTTGCGAATCTCTCGGTTTGATTGCTAAGTCTACAAAAACATATTTTCAGAGCTGGCCAGCTTGCTTGCTTTCCTTCCCTTTCTCTCCTTCCCTCTCTTTCCCTCCCTCCCTCCCCCCGCTCTCATAGTTTTGAGAGGGGGGTCTGTTTGTTTAGTTCAGGGTGTCCTTGAATTTGTAGTGATCCTCCAGCCTCAGCTGAGTGCTGGGATTAATAGGAGTGAGCTCTCAAGCACAGCTGTTTCAAAGGTATTTTTAATAACAGGACAAAATATCCATGGTATAATGTCATAAAGTAAATCTTGTAGCAAAAAGACTAAACAGACCTGTTAAAATATTGATAATAGTTAACTTGGGATATTTTTAAATTTTAAATTTTTGTTAATATAATTTATAGTATATAATGATCGCATTCATTGTGGGGAGTTGGTACGTGTAACTCTTAACTTTGTTCTCCCACTTCCCTTCCCCTATGTCTTGGTCCCCTTTTCCTTAGCAAAAGATCTAGCTCCGTGTTTCCTACTATTTATCTTTTATTTTGTTCTTTAAATTATTTGTACTCTGGGTTTCTTGCGTAAGAGAAACCATGCAGTATTTAAGCTTGTGTGTCTCATTTATTTCACTTAACATTATTGTCTCAAGGTGATTTTTTATTTTCAAGTTTCTTTAATTTTCTAAAATAAAGGTAATACTTTAATCATAACATAAGTTTTAACAAATGGATGAGGAAAGAAGTAAAGTTGTTCTCAATCATGAATTTAAGTTGGACAAAGTAAAGAAATAGGATGGTGTTACAAGTTGTGTGTGGATGTCCCTCCCAAAGCCTCATGCAGTCATGGGCTTCTAGAGTTGATAATTGATTCACGGTCCAATGCTGGGATTATGGGTGTGAGTGCTATACCCGCCCTGGAGCAGGTAGCTTGCATACAATATAAAGAAGGGAAAGAGGCTTGCTCTTTCCCCACTGTTCCTCCCTTTCTGCTCTTGTTGCTTTTGCTGTTTTCCACTGCCATGAACTTTTGCTCTCTGCCATGTGCCACTCTGCCTTAGAGCCAGCTGAGTAGGGACTGAAACCTCCACAAACTGTGAGCTAAATAAACTTTTCCTTCCTTAATTTTGGGTGTCAGGTATTTTGTCTCAGCAATGAGAGAAAAGTAACCAAGACAGATGGCATGTTGGAGTTAGTGAAGTGAAGGTTTTTTTGTTGTTGTTTGCTTGTTTTTTGTTTGATTTTTGAGCCGGACTCTATGCAGTCCAGGCTGTCCTTGAAGTGACAGCAATCCTCTTGCTGCAGGCTCCTGAATGGTGGGATTATAGGTCTGTACCACCACCCGCAGCCAAGCAAAGTTTTTGGGGTTTTTGAAACAAAAGTTTTGCTATTCAGTTCAGGATGGCTTGAACTCACTTTATAACCCACACTGGCCTCAAATTTGCAGATATCCTCCTGCTTTAGCCTCCCAAGTGCTGGGCTTACAGGCAGGTGCTACCATGCCTAGCCCCAAGCAGAGTTTTAACAATATTAATACTGAATGTTAAGCTGGTTGTTTTCAACAATAATTATATTCCTGTTGTATAATTCTGTTTTCTTGGTGGGTTTTTAGTAATCATGGTTTTGGGAATTTTGTTGTATTTCATCTTTTACTTTTTGTAAAGCCTAAACAATTTAAAAAGAGAAGAATATACTGCTAGGAACTTGTCCAAGAATTTATGTAAACTGCAGAAGAATGTAGCTGATGCTCCCCGCTTTTGTAGCATAAACAAGTGCCCTTGCCACAGAAGTGATGGGCGAAGAGACTACACAGCAATCTTGAAGTTCCCTGCTCTTGTGGTATTATTATTCTGTTGGTTGGTTTTCTTGAGTTGGAGGCCTTTTTTTTTTTTTTCTGTTGGTTGGTTTTCTTGAGTTGGAGGCCTTTTTTTTTTTAATGTAGTTGGTAACGGGGATTGAAGCCACAGTCTTCACAATGAGCTACATTCTCACTTCTCCACTTTTTAAATTATAATTTTGAGACAGGACTTTGTTAAATTGCCCAGGCTGACCTCTAATTTATGATCTTCCTGCTTCAGCCTCCTGAGAAGTTGGGATTATAGGTGTGAGCTTTTGGGCCTGAGCGTGGGAAATGTCAATTGGGGTTACTTAAGAAAAGGTAGAATCAATTCTTACTTGTTCCATTAATAAGAAAACCAATAATCTTATTTCTTTAACGGCGTGTTTCATATTACTTGTATCACAAAAATAATATACAATCATAGTAAAAAGAAAACCTGAAAGTCTAAAGTATAGTTTAATTTCAGTATGTTAATGACTACTGATGGTTTCTCATATATTTTTCTGGAAATGTTCTGTCTAGCACCATGATTTACAATTAGAGGTATAGAAGGCATGGTGCTCGAGTTCAGGAGAACCCTTTTTTGACTGTGTACTAGAGTTGGAGAGACAGGTGCTGTTTGCTAAGCACCATGCCAACAAATAGAAACGAGTAAAATAGTCATAACCCTTAAGATGATCAGAGCTGAGCCAAGGAGACAGACTCACTATTAGAAGTATATAACCTGCCTCTCATCCTTGTAATAAATTGGTACCAGGAATTGAGCTCAGGACCTTGTGGTTGCCGGGCAGCAGCACTATGCCACTGAGCTGGATCCCCAGCCAGACTGCGCTGTATTTTGCGTCATTTTCCCACTCCTAAATTAAAGGGTTGTAAAACATGGAAGTGTTTATTTTTTGCTTAAATACTTAATTTCTATCACTTAACTTTCCATTCAGGTTATATTCTTTTATTTTAAATATATATAGGAATTACTCAAGGTGATGAGGACAATTGATGACAGAATAATACATGAGTTAAACACTACGGTTCCAACAGCTTCCTTTGCAGGGAAAATTGATGCCAGCCAAACCTGTAAACAACTTTATGAGTCTGTAAGTGTATATCTTTTGAGTCTCTCCTTTGTGCTTCATTGTGTCTTTCTTTGCAGGCAAAACAAGAAATCCATTCACATATGTCTAAACTGTGAAAAATGAATGACAGTTTCCTGTTTCCTTACCCACATCTGAGGTTATATAAAACTTTTGATCTGGTTTCTACAAACTAAATAGATATGTGATCTTTTGTGTAAATCTGTGAAGAAATGGTTCTAAAGCATTGAAGCATTTTTTGGCCACTTTACTTGCAGCCTTTAACTTAAAGAAATGAGAGGGAGAGCAGAACAGTAAACAGTAGTAAGAGCAAGGATGTTCACGATTCAATCTTAAGAAGCCAGACAGTTGATGTAAGGAAGGGTTAATGCCCTGCATTCCTTCATCTCTTCTTTTTTTCCTTCACTCATCACGAAGAGGAATAGAAGTGTGCGACAGGTGGGGGAGAAGGAAAGCCACAGAGAAATTGTCATTTCCTGAGGCTTTGGTTTCTCAAATACATACCTTCTCATTGCCTCCTTTACTTGTCTTTTTAATGTTCAAAAGCAGAAGGAAATAATGATTCCTATGTTTTTCATAGTTTGCTCACTTACACCCTTTCGATGAGTTGAAAGCTAAAGTTTAAATGACACTCAGTATTTTGAGCTCTACCATCACAAGATTACTGTTTGGATTCATAGTTGTATTAATAAAAATATGTGAAATCTAAATTACATTTCTCAAATATGAAAAAAATAGTTTTAGCAATTTTTTATATGAATTAAATTTAGAGCATCAACTGCTGCTTTTTTGTTTTGCTTTTATATTAAAGCATAATGTTGGGCCGGGGATATAGCTCAGTGGCACAAGTGCTTTCCTGGCAAGTGCAAGGTCCTGAGTTTGATTCCCGGTACCAAAAAAAAAAAAAGCATATTGTTTTCTTGAGTGATCAAATGAGTCTTGTGGTTTTAGTTCCTTTCGAGGTATGGACCTTTCTGAGTAGAATGCAGTAATCAGGAGGAGAGGACCTAGTTCTAATGTACTGTGAAGGTGTTTGACAGTGGGTATTTCTGATTAAAGAACTAGAAATTTATGGTCACGTAATACCCTCTTTTACTGCACTACCAGTGTACTCTTTATACTATAATTAATTTGCAGTCTTCCTATTAACCTACGGGTATAATATCATGATTAACAACATGGATTCGGATCTAGAGTAAATCTCACTTATTTCCTAGCTGGGCGGCCTTGAATATATTATATAACCTTACTTTGCCTCAGTTTCCATATTGTGTACCTACCACTACCTACCTACCTTGCGTTTAGTAGTATCTACTTCTTAGGGTTGTTAGAGAATTAAGTTAACTAATATGTATAAAGTGCTAACTTTTTAACATATCAGGATTTGTACTCTTTTACATAGCAGCATTTGCTGCTGCCATTTTAAGTAGGTTTGAGTTCCTTAAGTATTGTCTCAGTTGAGAAGCCTTTACTGTTTAGTACTTTATTCCTTAAGTATTGTCTCAAGTTGTTTTTTGTTTTGTTTTGTTTTTTTTTTTTTTGTTTTTCTCCGGTACCAGGAACTGAACTCACGACCTTGCGCTTGCCAGGCAGGCGCTTTGCCACTGAGCTAAATCCCCAGCCCCTCAAGTTGTTTAGTAGTCCACCTGAGTTACGTTAGTTCCTGACCCAGCTTCCTTCTTTAGGTAATGAACATATTTCCATTCTTCAGAGAGATCTAAAGTTACTCTGAATGATGAGTTTGAGAAATTTCAAATCTCAAAGGAATACTCATAGTAAAAGTAAAATTGTTTTAATGAGATCCTCTTTATTAGAACATGTACCCTTCAACCTTAGCATTACATTCTTTATTCTAAAGATAAACATAAAAATCATTACTGACAGTAAAGTCTATGAACTTGAAATAGTGCTTTTCAAATGCAAATGCTTAGTGTCATCAAAATTTGGCTGTGCTTGTAGAAGGGTGTGTAAAACACAACCATTGTACCTTGCGAATCAAGCTGTAAATAAATGAGAACTGACATTTTTGTTGGACTTGTCACACTGAGAGGGAGGGTGTTACAGAGCTATTCCCTCAGAATCCTTACTTTCAGCCAACACACAATTGGTGCCACCACTAATCTGTGCTTTGTATGTAAGTTGCTGTTATCAACAGCTACACTTTCCAATCTTAAAAAGGGCTCTGTCTTACATAGGCAAATAAACCATTTTTTGTTTTACCTCATTATAACTAAGACCTTCTTTACATCACTTAGTTTATAATATCTTCCCCTTTTTGACCATATGAGACCAAAAAAAAAATACGAAGGGCCCCCCCCAAAAAAAATGGAGGGCCAAAAAGTAGCAGTAAGTGGCCCAGAGGGTAGATGTAGGGTGGACAAATTGAGGGCAGTGGGGAGTGACAAGGACAGAGGGGAGGAGGCTGAAATGAAGAGCCCAGCAGGGCACTGCAGGAAAGAGGAGCAGGAAGTACTGGGTCATAATGAGGAACAGAGCTCAGGCCTCATACCTCCCCCTCCGAGGTGCTGCTTTCAGTCTATTTCTAGGAATTTTTTTCTTTTTTCTTTTTTTGATTTTTTTTTTTTTCCAGTACTGGGAATCGAACTCATGACCTTGCGCTTGCCAGGCAGGCGCTGTGCCGCTGAGCTAAATCCACAGCCCCTGGAATTTTTTTCTGATTCAACACAATCTTCCATAAATTATATTTTAAAAAATTGTTTAGAAGTATTAAATTTCTAAAGTCTCAAGGATTTTTCTTAAGAATGAAATGTGATAAATTGATGTGATTTTCCCCTCCTTTCATTCCTTTGTTCTTTCAGTTGATGGCAGCTCATGCCAGTAGGGACAGAGTCATAAAAAACTGTATAGCCCAGACCTCAGCAGTAGTACAAAACCTACGAGAAGAGAGAGAAAAGAATTTGGATGATTTAACGTTATTAAAGCAACTTAGAAAAGAGCAGACCAAGGTAAGTCGAACAGAATTTACATTTCTCAGGCAAAGGTTTTTAAACATAGCCTTCAAAAGAGTCTTTTTTTAGTCCAGCATGGTGGTACATGCCTGAAATCCCAGCTAAGAGGCTGAGGCAGGAAGATCACAAGTTCAGGGACAGCCTGGATAATTTACCAAGCCCTTGTGTCAAAATTTTAATAAAGGGCTAGGATGTAGCTCAGTGGTAGAATACTTGCCTAGTATGTGTATGGTCCTGGGTTTAGATCCCAGTACTGTGAAAATAAGTAAAAAAATAAATAAAAGGTAGTTTTAATACGTATAATTTAGAGTAAGGTATGGTCATTAATTACTTAAAAAAAAAATGACCAGGATATTAATGCTTCAGTTTTAGTAAGCTTTATTTTTATTACATTTAGATGTTAGTTGGTAAATTAATGGCATTTTTATGAACAGATGTATTATAGCAGCTTTAAGCAAAATAGGCATGTAATCATATTTTATTTCCATTCATTTATTTGTTCCCTACTGTTAAAGGATCAATACAAACCACTACCATATCAGAAACTTTGAGAAAATCACATCTGTATTTTTTGAGACTTAACTTGAGAAGAAACTTTCTTTTCCTTCCTTCTCTTCTTACTGGAGTGTGAACCCAGCGTCTTGCGTATGCTAAGTGCTCTACCACTGAACTCCATTTCCAGATCTTTTTTTTTTTTTTATATAAATTGGTGTACATTTGCAGTGCATAGTTAAGGATTGTTGAATGGAGGTAGCGTTTACCACCTCCCCCGCCGCCCCAATGCTAGGGTTCAACCCAGACCCTTTGCTTTTTTGAGAGTAGGTCTCACTATGTAGTTCAGGCTGTCCTCAAACTCACAGCAATCTCCTATCTTGGCCTTCTGAGTCCTGGGATTACAGGTATATACCACCAGACCCAGCAGATAAAGCATATTTTGACCATATGAGTACACAAAAAAAATCTTCATCATTTTAACCATTAGGGAAATGCAAATTGAGATTCAATCTTACCCCAGTCAGTAAGGCGCTATTATCAAGTACACAAAAAACAACAAATGCTGACATGTACCTGAGGGAAAAGGAGCCCTTCTGCACTGTTGGAAGTGTTGTGAACTAGTATAGCTACTACAGAACTCAGCGTAGACTCCTCAAAAAACTAAAATTTATGTTGGGACACACTTTTGTTAAATTGCGCAAGCTGGCCTAGAACTTGGGATCCATCTACCTCTACCTCCACCTCCTAAGTAGCTGGGATTATAGGCATGTGCTGCCGTGCCCTCCTGAAATATTTCTTAATGTGGTTATATATTGAAAATTGTTATCTCTGATGTCATCCTGTAGAAATCTGCTGAAATATAATACAGATTATTTAGTTTTAGGATAGTACCCTCTTTAGCCATAGAAATACAGTACTATTTAGCTGGGTTTGGTGGTGCATGCCTGTGATCCCAGCACTCAAGAGGCTTGTTGAGAGGCAGGAGGATTGTTGGGAGTTCGAGGCCAGCCTAGGCTACAAAGTGAGCCCAAGGCCAGCCTGAACTGTGTAGTGAGACCCTGTCTCAAAAAAGACCAAAAAAAGAAAAGAAATACAGTACTGTTTAAATGTAGTTAGATATATTAGTACCATATTATGCATAATTTACTTCCTCACTGTGTAGAGGTAGTTACAGATCTTTGACTCTTTTGTTTTGGTACCAAGAATCAAACTCATGACCTCATGCTTGCCAGACAGGTGCTGCACCAGGCAGCTAAATCCCTGGCTCTTTGACTGTTTTTAAGCTACCTTTTTTCTACTTTATTCAGCATCCCTGTAGTGTTTTCATTTTTAAGAAAATAACTAGCACTTACCCAGACATATGTAAGAAAAAGTCTTATTTTCTCAAGTTACCCATAAATGCAGATATAGTGTAAACTCAAAATACAGTTAATCCAGAAGTGTTTCTTTATAGCCCTTTGTATGTGACATGTTAATAAAACAGTTGCGATAGATAGAAGTCACCAGGACCCCACCCACTAGCCACCAGGAATATCAAAACAGATACTCAAGTTCCTTATATAGAATCGCACAGTTTTGCATGTCCTCCTTTATACCGTAACTCACCTATAGATTGCTTATAATATTTAATATAATGTAAATGCCATTAAAGTCATTATTATACTGTGTTATTAAGGAAATAATAAGAATAAAGTCTATATACTTTCAGTACAGTTTTTTTTCCCAAAATATTTTTAATCTCCAATTGTTTGAGTCCATGGATATAGAACCTACAGACACAGAGGCCAGCTGTATTTTACTGTATGAAATGCATTGCTATTTTTTTTTGAGGGGATTCTGAGATAAAATTTTTTGTGTTGTGTAATTTCAGACTTGCAGAAAACTTGTAAGAACAGTGCAAGGAACTCCCGTGTACCTACCCTTTACCTGTATTCCCTTATTGCTTACATTTTGTCCTGCCTGCGTTACAGTTCATTCACTTCACCTTCCCTACTTCCCTCCATCTTTCCCTGCTGTCTTTCCTTCCCACTCTGTACACACTCAAACACACACACATAAACGTATTCTTTTCCTGAACAATTTTGAGAGCATGCTGAACATATTGTGCCCCTTTACCCTTAAATATATTTGTTATTTCCTAAGAACAGGGACTTTTTCTTACGTGGCCACTGACCAGTTATGAAAAATTTTGTCTGTGTTTGAAGATGGCACAGCACAGTGGGAGACTTACGGATCCTTATGTGTCAGATGACAACATCCAGTGTGGAATGGAAGCACACTTTTCATACCGAGCAATTGTGCAGTTTGCTCTTTATTTCGAGAAGGCCTGTTCCTGTGCCTGCCCACAGACTTGCTTTCTCAGTCGTCCCACCAGTTCCGTGTGTCTCCCTACACACAAGCTTCAGCCACTGTCTTTGCTGTTCTGTATTCATGACTGTTGCTTCAGGCCTGTATTCCGTACTTACCCACTCATCAGACAGTGGCAGGTTCCTCAGATGGTGAACGTAAACTATCATTTTCATGTTGCCCTAACCTCAGTGTGCATGAAGGCCTACGTATTACTTATGTAAAACCGGTCAAAGTCTAGGTAACTGAGTTTTCTGTTTCTTGGAGGTGTTAAGGAAGGAAACTGCAGGGTCATGCTGTTAAATCAGAAACTAAAAAATCGATATTTACAAATTAAGTCAGAGTAGCATGACTCTTGTTAGTAGAGAGCAAAGTTCAAAATCTGAACCACTGAGTGTGTAGGAGTGTATGGGAGCGTCCCACAGTTTGCTCAGCCCTGGGATCTGCCCCTTTGCTTTTAAGGCCCTGAAAGAATCAGCAGGGTAAGCCTGCAAGGAGGGGTTCTGAAAGCAATCAGTGAGTCATTGTGAGGTTTGCTCTCTAGCCTGATAATGCGTAGGACTGGAGGGCAACCATAAGTTGTGCAGAAGTAGATCATAAATAAGGAAACATGGGGAGTTTTTCCAAGTTTGCTATGAAGATAATAGGATCAGAAGGAAGGCTCTTAGAGATGTTCCATCTCTGTATCTTCATTTTCTCCCCGAAGAAAGGGAGTGCGGCATTGGTACAGTGGGGAGCATAGCTGCCTTCCTAAAGAAGCTGAGACTCAGAGACACAACTGACATCCCAGAGTCACGGACTTGTAACTGATAGAGCTGGGACTTTAACCCATGTCTTCCAGCTCTGAGTTCCGTCAGTTTCTTCACATGAAATTGTGACTAATAGTCAAATTCTGATAACTTTAGTGAATTTATTTTATTTTTATTCAGAGATGTCAGCCTAAAAAGGTCCTATTCTCTTCCTGAATCCTTAGCTCAGAAAAACCATCTTCCCTGCTGGAACTCATCTGCTGTTACCTGTCAATGGCAGGATACCTACTTAGTACCCAGAGCCTCAAAAACAACTATCTCAGATGTGACAGTTTGTTGGTGGCACTGACTCAGTCTTATTATTAAATTAGCTGCAATGTATGCAGTGTTCTAAATAGAAAAATGAGTTGTAAAACTCAAAGGAAATAAACCCCATCTACTTTGGTGGCTTTATTATCCCTAAATTGATTGCTCTGAAACTTCAGATTTCAGCCTATAAAAGGGGGTAGATATAACCTTCATTTTCATTTTAGTGAACACTGAATTATATATGTAAGAATGAACATATTGGCTGGTACAAAGAAATTCCTTTTCTTTTTTTGAGTCCAAAGGACTCTGTGTTTGTTGCATTAGTTCTCTTTATCACATCACCAGCTGTCTTACTTTTCTTGTTGCTGAGACAAAATACTGACACCCAAAGTTAAAGGAGGAAAAGTTTATTTGGCTCACAGTTTATAGAGCTTCCAGTGCATAGTCAGCTGGCTCCAAGGCAGGGTGGCACATGGGAGAGGACCAACAGTTCATGGTGGACAGAAGGCAGTGAAGTATCAAAGAAACAACAGCCGGCCTGTCCCTTTTATCCCTTCCAGGCTACCCACACTTTGGGTGGTGTGTACCAGACACAGGGTGGGCCTTCCCATTATCCACACCCAGAACTGTGCCAAACCAATCAGTGGACTGGTTTAGTAACCACATACCCTTAATCCCAGCATCACACTCTGGATCCAAACACCTCTGAAAAAGCCCCACTTATGACTGCATAATGCTTTTGGAAGGGACATCTAAATACAAGCCATATCACCAACCAATGGATTCTGTCTTCTCTTTAGTCACTACTTAAGAGACAGGAGGGCAGAAGACTTACTCACTTTTGTGTCAGTGCTTTCTCTTTTTGAACAGTTCTACTGGTTTAACGATTTTCTTATATATTGCAAAAATATCTTTTCTTGTAATATGTAAATGCTACTTCGTAATCTTCCCTCTAGAGTTATACAGTCTAAGTCCTTTGGAGTTATACAGTCTAAGCCCTTTCCTACCCAAAATCCCTTTAAGTACTTGAGAGCAGTTAGGAAGACTGTCTTAGTGGTGTTTTATCACAGTGTGTTCTTCCACTGAAGTTCTTTTCATTCCCTTTCTGAAATTATATCTTTGGCAGTCAGTGCAAGCTTTGACAGAGCAGTCAAACAGAAACTGTAATGATTCTAAGCCTGTATGGTTTTTTAACATCTGAAAGTGAGGTTGTTTAGGGGATTCTTCAGGCTTGTTCCTAGGATATAGCACAGGACCAGTCAGAACAGTCCTTCTCTTCCCTATGTACTGTTTTAACACTAGTTCAGAATCCAGGAAAGAACTTTACAAGAGCCCAGGTTCTCCATTCTTCTTAGTGTTGCATGCAGATTTCTCAAGCCTTATGCCCAAGCTGTGTTCCTAATTGGACTGTGTCACTGGCTTGTGTATCAGACTCATGGTTGCTAACTTTGGTATCATCTTCCTGAATGTGGCCTGAGTTCTTGATTTTGGCCTAGGGAAATCATCCTGGTTTTAGACTCTTGGGAGTCTCAACCTGTAACTCATGCTTTTTTCTTCCTAATTTTCCTGAATATTTCAAAGCCTCTTCAGGATCTAGCTAGCTTCTTTCTTTTCAAGTCCCTCTCATATGTGACTAGGAATATTATGGGTCTTGCTGTCAAGGTCTGCAATGAATTGACAGCTTTTTTGGGTGGCAGTTAGGAAAGTTAGACTTAGCATTTTAGTCTTGGACCTCTGGCTGTGTGGTCCGAGTGTGGGGAAATTGTGCCTTTCTGGATCACTTAGGACTTAGGTATCCCCTTTCATCTTTCTTTATTTGCCTTCCAGATTCTTTTTTCTTAAAATTCTGTGTCCAAGTCAGCTTGCCACCTCTTGTCATTTTTTATTCCTCTGTGCCATCTTTGTAAATCTGTAGTTATTTAATCCATTTGTAGAACTAGAATTGTTGAGTTGAGAAACATTAGGATGTACGTTTCTTTTTTTGGGGAGGGGGTACCAGGAATCAAACTCAGCACCTCACACTTGTCAGGCAGACACTGTGCTGCTGAGCTACATCCCCTGCCCAGGATGTACACTATTGATAAATCTAAGTAGTTCTCCACAGAAACTACAGCAATTCACACCTGCCTGGCAAGCTCAGGGTCCTGAGTTCAATTCCCAGTACCTTCCCAGAAAGTACAACAATTCATATTCCTGCGAAACATGTAAAGCCAGGAATGGCATATGCCTGTAATCCCAGCATTCTGGGAGACTGAGGCAGGAGGGTTCAAAGTGCAAGGGCAACTGAGCATGAAACACCCTGTCAGAATTTTAAAAGGACTGAGAGTGTGGTATGAAGACTTTGGGTTCAATCCCCAGTACCATAATCAGTCAATCAGTCAATAGTATGAGTGTCTTTTCTACCCACTCACTGTTACTAGGTTTTATCAGACATTTTTTGTGTTTTTCCTCATTTCATCATACTATGATTTCATTACCCCCACCCTTTCTTCCTCTCTCCCCTCAATTGTTCCTTCTGACAGGATCTCACTAAATTGTCCAGACTGGGCCCAGCCTCCCACAGTGCAGGGATTATAGGCATGCTGTGCCACTACACCCAATTTGTATTTCTTTATACTTGAATGAGAATGGATTAAAAAAAAAAAAGTGTGATGACATAAACCTGTTATCACAGGTTCAGGTTGGAGCCTAGTCTGGGTCAATTTAACAAGACCCTGTCTCAAAATAAAAAAAGGATTGGGACTATAGCTCAGTGCAAAGGCCCTGGGTTCAGTTTTCAGTACCAGCAGGCACATGCATGCACGCACATGTTTAAGGCTGGAGATATAGCTCAGTGGTTAGCAGATGAAAGGCCCTGAGTTCCATCCCATCCACTGTAAGAATGAATGTTTGTTGGCCATTTATGTTTCTCTGAACTGCTTTGGACACTGGGATTTTTTTTTAAAAAAGAACTTTCAAGGTGATTATGATCCAGAAAGTTTGAGAACCATCATTGTATAAGATTTAACATTTGATTAGATCTGGAGAGAGGGATAGTGTCAAAGAAGTCCACAAGTCTGCAGTGTTAATAGTCAAAGATCCAAGAATAGCAGCTGGTTTTGCTGGGAAAACATAATAGTGTTCTGTTTTAGCTCTTTACGTTTCATGACTGATTTTTGCCTTTCTTGCAGTTGAAATGGATGCAGTCAGAACTGAATGTTGAGGAAGTGGTAAATGACAGGAGCTGGAAGGTAAGAGAGAGGGCATAAAGAGTACAGGGAGGCGGAAGTCACGTCAAGCACACTGGTTTTCTTTTAACTGAGATACACATGCCCAAAAGGGTATAACATGTCGAGTTTAAAGAATATTAGTAAAAGAACCATTTATGTATCTCCTTAAGAACTTGCATAATACCAGTTAGTACTTTAGAAGCTCCCTTGTGTAGACTTTTCTAATGTGACAGCCAGCAGCCCCCAACTAGAGTAATTTTTTGAATTTTAGAAATGATTTATTTCTTAACATCAGTGGAGTAGGGGATACATTCTTGCAAATTCTTTTAGATTTTTTGAAAAAATTTTAGACACATGGTTTAAATTTTTTTCTTAAAAAGATTCTAAATATTAAAAGATATATACAATAAAAATTGTGCCTCTCACCCCTCCCCCTTAACCATCTCCTTCCCTCTGCAAGTGCAGTATATTTTTTCATATATTTGCACCTTTTATAATGTTATGGATGTGTATATCCCCCCTGCATTATAAAAACAGAAGTGTATTGTCCATATTTTGTTTTTTGCCCTTAATGTGGCTTGGAAATCCTTTCATATCAGAATATAAAGCTTCCTTACTCTTACTTTGTAAGCACTTTATTTCACTAACTAAACTAAAATATAAATATGTATATATGTATGTACTGTATGTATTTGCAGAATTGGGAATGGAACCCAGGGGTACTCTGCCACTGAGCTACCTTCCTGCTCTTTTTAAGACAGGATCTAAGTTGTGTGGGTGGCCTTGAACTTGTGATCTGCCTGCCTCAGCCTTCCAAGTAACTAGGATTACAGACATGTATGAATGCACCAGTCTGTACTGCAATTTCTACTTAATACACACCTATATTAACAAGTATTTAGTCATAGAACATGCTTTTACCAGTTATAATATGCTGTTTGTTCTGACTTTCAGGAAGCAAGGTAAACAGAAAAAAAATACATAAAATCATACAATTTAGCAAAAGACTGGGTTAGCCGGCAAGTATACGTACTTATGAGAAGGATTTGGTACACATTTAGAAATGTACAAATATCTTAGCCAAATCTACTTTTAAAAAAGAGAAAAGCTTTGTCTTAAAACTTAAGTTCAAAATATGTCTAGAACATGGAACTGAAATACTTGTTAATTTCTCTTACTGGCTCTTGATGGTTTTTCTTGCATAATGTAAATCTTACAAAAATATTAAAATTGTCTTGTCACTAGGGATCCAGGCCTTTTGTACAGTTAGCATCTAGTAAGTCAGTTTGACCTGGTGAGAAAACAACTGTTTCTTAAATCTGTTGACCCAGAACAAAAATGATAAAACCTTCCTAATATATCAAAGTGAATTTAGATTCAGGCCTCATCTGTGCAGGATAACTCAGTGCTTTTATTTCTGTTTAAACATCTTAGGTGTTTAATGAACGCTGCCGAATTCACTTCAGGCCTCCAAAGACTGAATAAAAAGAGATACTGTTTTAAAGGACCGGGTCATCTCACCAAGGCTAGGCATGACAGACATCAACAGGATGGGCTTCCCCAGGATGATATCTGAGCCAACAGTCCAAGACCTTGTGTTGATCTCAGCCCCACTTAGCAGGACCTCATGTCTAAGTAATTCTGATAATTATGAAATAATCAAACTGCTATTTTATACTGATTCTGTAAAAAACATTTTATAACTATTAAAGTAATTTTCTGACTCAGTGTACATTTTTATTTGATGGTTGTCCAAATTGATACCATAACTTCAAATAAGATAATTTGCACATAATTTTACTGTCTGATTGTATTTATTATTTTCTTGATTTTTACAAATTTACTGGCATGGATATGGACCTTTTTGGTCACAGATGAATTCATCATATTTATCATTGTGGGTTTATTATGAAAAGGCAGTACTATAAGGTGTGCACTCTTTGGACCTTAATTGTTTTCTTAATCATATTTTATTGTTACATTTTAGATACACATAATGATCACATTCATCATAGAGAATTTGTACCTGTACATGATATAACTTTTTTTTTTTCATTCCTCTACACTCCGTTGAACTCCTCTATTTGCAAAAGCTTTGTTTCCATTTTTTTCCTTCTTTTCTCTCTCTTGAAACCTTAATTTATCTTGTTTTCAAATGTAAAAATTAAATTTGGGTGGAATTTTTTTACTTGACAGTTTTCTCATGGACACTGAAAAAGGAAGCCAGTAGAACAGATTCAGGAAAGGAAAATGCCATGGAGGGCTTGCATAATGGTAAATCAGTTAGTTAAAAAATCATGCTGTAATTACAGAATTTGCTCTGAAGAAAACAGCTTTCTATTATGGAATGGTTATATTAACTTTTTATTGCTGTTTAACAAATCAGCACAGGCTTTGCTGTTTGTTATCACATAGTTCTGTGAGTCAGAAGCCCTACAGGCTTGCTAAGAGTGGATTCTCTAGGGTCTTGCAAAGCTGAAGTTCCGCTGAGAGCCAGGATCGCTGTTCCCTGGAATCTGTGAGGGGAGAACTTGCGTCCAAGCTCACTGAATTTGTTAATACAACTTAGATCTTTTAGTTGTAGAACTGAGGCCCCCATCTCCTTGTTGGCTGTCAGGCCCTACTCAGCTCCTGGAAGACATCCACATCTCTCAACACATGGCCCCTCCATCTTCAAACTGCCAGCAGTGTACTAGATCATACTGAGACTTGGGCATCCTGTTCTGCTATACACCAGACAAAATACGTTTTTAAAGAATATGTGATGATATCAGGCCTACTATAAGTTTGCTTTTAATTAGCTCAAAGTTGATTTATTATAATCTTAATTACCTTTGTAAATCACCTTTACCATGTAATGTATCATAATCACAAGTGTGATGTCTCATTTACTGAGGGATTACAGTGGGACATTGTGGGGAGCCAGTTTAGGATTCTGCCTACCATAATCCAGACACCAGCCACCTGGCTCCAGTTTGTTAGACTGACCAACTAGATCCGTCTTATGCCATGTCCAGTACAATGACCTAAATGAGATTATGCACTTGGAAATTAGCAGAAATACATAAAATGCTGTCTCATTCAACAAAACTTTTGAGGATGAACGGTGGGTCACTTTCTGGGGAGATGGATAAGACCAGTTTTGGCCTGGGGTGTAGCTCACTGGTACAGCGCTTACTTAGCATGCAGTAGGTCCTGGGTTTGAGCCCCTAAATCACACACCAGAAAACACCCAAAAACTACATTGGTAAAGATTATAATCAAATGACCTCAAAAGTTTTTTCTAAGGGTTGGTAGTGAAAAAGATTTTCTGTACCAGGCCTGGCGGGGCATGTCTGTAATCCCAGCACTTGAGAGGCTGAGGCAGGAGGATCACCACAAGTTTGAGGCCGGCATAGGGATGCATAGTGAGTTTAAGACCAGCCTGGACTGCACAACAAAACCCTGTTTAAAAAAAAAAAAAAAATCAATCAATCAATAGCTGGAAATCAGGATTGCAAGTGGAGTGTGGGTTGTCCATAACTTTTCAGCTGAGTGGAGAAAATTATAATGCCCTTTGAAAGGCCAGCTGAGGTAGAGATTAAAATATATCGCATATATACAGTCATAAAAGGAGTTTTTCTAAGTCTTTCATAAGTTGTGCTGTAAAAATACCCACTTGGAAAACTGGTAAAGTATCAGGTGTACTGCAGTAGACTTAGTCCCACATATTCAAGAATAACTTGTAGCTAATCAAATATACAGTCCAATTTTAAGTTAAAGACAGTTAACCCAGAATTAGGTGGTCTACTCAAAGATGGAGATTATTTCTGGTACTTATGAATTCTGTGTATACTTAGCCTTATACCCTTGATTTACTTACTTTAAAAATTATTATTGAACATAAAATGGAAAATGATTACTTCAGATTTTTGAGAAGCCTAATTTTACCCCACAAAATTATGTTGGGAAGGAAGTATAGTATGTGAATAAAAAGTTTAAGCAAAGCTAGTAACCTGCTTGGAAATGCAATGGCCAGCTGAGGGCACCCCTGCCAAAGGTGAGAGGACTTGGCCTGGGTGAATGTGCGCATCTCCTATGCACTAAGAAGAATTGTTAGGATGGGCACTTATGAGTAACTGCTATAGACTGAATGGTTTTTTGCTCCGTTTTAAAACAAGCAAGCAAAATGTCTCTACCTAAAGTCCCTCAGGCGTCCCTTCAAGGGATCTCACTGCTTTGAAGATAAGAATTCCTTAAAATGGCTTAAGGGATTCACGCGCTGGCTTCTTCCAACTTCAGAACTCTGCAGTGCAGGCTTCCCTACCAACACTGAACTACTTTCTGCTCCTGGACACGACCCAGTCTCACCTTTGAACTTCCAAGCACTGACTCTTTTCCTTGGCCAACTCCTTCTGCCTCCTGTCTCAGCTATCACTTCCTTCAGGAAGCTTTCCCTGACCTCTCACATAGAAATTAGGCATCTCTTTTATGTGCTTCATCCTGATTTTTATTGCAGCACTAAATTGCAGATTTCTTTCTTTCCTCCACCAGTTTATGAGGGCTGGAACTGTGGCTGCTGGATGAGGCACTGCTACTACTCTATACACATTTTTTTTCTCTTAAAATAGAGTCCTGATTCTGTTTAAGGCAGTGAAATCCCCACTCCCCCTGTTTTCCTTGTAGCCCCAGGTAGCAATGGGACACTTCTGGCCAATGAGATAGAAGCAAGAGACATTGGGAGTATTTGGGGGAAACTTACAATAGAGTTCTGCAGGCATTGTCCTTCCCTTCTCATTGCCTCTACCTTCCTGGTGGAAACCAGCTAACCACAAAATCAGAAAACAAAACAAAACAAAAATAGCAGTAGTTTTTGATCCCCACTACTGGAAAATAAATAAATTAATAAAACTTTTAAATGTTTTTAAAATTTAAAAATACAGCAATAGTTTCCTATCAATAATTACCTTGAATATCAATTTAACTTCTCTAATAAAAATAGAGTGGACAGATTTTTTAAAATTATGGGCTCAATTGTAATCTGTCTATATGATACTTGCTTCACTATTAACGACACACACACACACACTGCAAGTGAAAAGACTGAAAAGGTTATTTCATAAAAATGTAAACCATAAATAGACCAGAAGTAATACTTATATTAGCCCAAATAGGCTTTTAAGTGTTACAAAGGGACAAAGAAAGATAGGAGATCATGGTAAAGGGGTCAATTTTTCCAAAGAAAGAATATATATATATATATATCATCCATATATATATATATATGCATTCAGTGAAGTAGCACTCTATTATATAAAACAAATGTTAAAATATCTGAAAGGACAGAGATAGTTGAAGTACAACATCCTTAAGGGACTTAAATTCACCATTTTCATTATTGGAAGAATCACTTGACAGAAAATCAATAAGGAAATACTGGACTTAACACTTGAGACCAAATAGACCTAGTAGACAAATACAGAACATCCTGTCCAACAACAACAGAATATTTATTCTTCTCAAGCACACAGAACATTCTCCAGGGTGCATCTATGTCTTGAGTGATATATAAAGTATCCCTTAAAGTTACGATGGTATGAGAATAGAAATCAGTAACGGGAGGAATTTCAGAAAATACGCAAATACAGTGATACCTTGGCTTACGAATTTAATTCTTTCCATGATTCTGGTCACAAACTGAATTGGACAAGAACTGAAACAAAACTAAATTGGACAAGAACTAAATCAAATTCACTGGTTAGGTTTAGTGTTGACCTTATGGGGCAATTTGATTTGGTTCTTGTCCAATTTGTTTTGCAACCAGAATCATGGAAAGGATTAAGTTCATGAACCAAGGTAATACTACATAGCAACTGAGCCATATGCTCTTGAATAACAAATGAATCAATGAAGAAGTTAAAAGAGAAATTAGAACATATCTTGAAACAAACAAAAATGGACAAACAACCTACCAAAACTTTGTGAGATACAGCAAGAGCACTTCCTAAAGTTTATAACAATACACCCCATATCAGAAAAACATGACAAATGTACAATGTTATGACTCAAGAATAACAAGCTAAGCCCAGTGTTACTAGGAAAGAAATTATAAAAGTCAGAGCAGAAATACATGAAATAGAGACTAGAAAAACAACATAAAAGATCAACAAAATTGAGTTGTGTTATGAAGAGACTAAAAAATTGGCAAACTGTTTGCTACCATGTTTCCCTAAAAGTAAGACCTGACTGAGAAATAAGCGCTGGTCACTACCACGGTGATTTCCAGTGTCGTGCAGAAGATTATGCCTCACTATTCCCTTGATCAATGGCTACTCTGTAATCATAGATAAGGCAAGGCGACTGGGCCTGATGATTCAAGGACTGATTATTTTCCAGTTAGATCTTATTTTCAGGGAAACACAGTAGATTAACCAAGAAAAAAGAGAAAGATTAAATTATGTAAATTCATAAATGAAAGTGGAGACATTACAACTGATACCACAGAAATAAAGAGAATTATAAAAGATATAAATGATTATATGCAAGTAATTAAGTAAATTTAAGGATAACTTAAAACAGGGATCCCCAACCACCAGGCCACAGCCTGTTAGGAACTGGGCCACAAAGTAGGAGGTATGGGGCGGGAAAATGAGTGAGGCTTCATCTGTGTTTACAGCCACTCCCAGTTGAACTCTGTCTCCTGTCAGATCAGCAGTGGTATTAGATTCTCATAGGAGCTCAAACCCTATTGTGAACTGTGAGACATTGGGTTGTATACTGCTTTTGAGAATCTAATGCCCGATGATCTGAAGTGGGGCTGTGGCAGTGATGATAACACTGGGGAGCAGCTGCAAGTACATGTTAACATTAGTGGAAATGGGCTGGGCGTGGTGGCACATGCCTGTAATCCCAGCACTCGGGAAGCTGAGGCAGGAGGATTGTTGCAAGTTTGACATCAGCTTGGGCTACAAAGTGAGCTCCAGGCCAGCCTGAACTGCATAGTGAGACCCTGTCTCAAAAAGACCAAAAAAAAAAAAAAAAAAAAATTAGTGGAAAGGTTTCAGTGCACAAAGACCATAATCAGTTCTTTGTAGGATCACATCTAAACCCTACCAGTGACAAGCTGCATCTGGTGGCAGGCTTTAGCGTGGTAAGTGAGTTGATGCACTTCAGTTGTACATGTATCTGGTAGGAGGCTATAAGTCAGAATCCAACACTTTAGTTCACACATGGTCTGCCCATTATTTCATTTACCACTTCCACGTCTACTTCTTTCCAGTACTACACACTTGCCCCAGGCACAGTTTTGAGACGCCCACCAGATAACCCTAGGTAAAGTGAGGAAAACACAAATGTCACTGGAGAACTTTTTTACTTACTTACCTGTCTAATTATTTAAATACAGGATGACCAAAAATTGAATATTTTTCATTAATTTTTATAAGATAATACAACAGAAAGTATGAGACAATTTTATCAAATTTATTCCATATAAGATTCAAGTGGTTGAAATGACACTTGCCTGAGTGACGCTTAGGATAGTATGTAAAAAAAATATGCTGCCCAAGTGATGTTTGGGGTAAACTATTAAGTGGTTAAAAAGGGGGAAGGACCCAATGTTGAGACAGCAGGACTCTAAGACTACCAACAAAAACAAAGTTTCATTTAAAAGAAAATACTAAGAGTTCAACTTAACTTATGGGTTCAGTGCAACAGTTGATTGAAAATTTCCAGGCTTGCTTTGTGACAAGTTATGAGTGACCAGCTGTCCAACAAACCCATGAAACCTTCCAAGGCTTTGCTACTTGGAGACCAAGCACCCTGCCTTGGACGACAAGGCTTTGGAGTTTTTCAAAAGAAAAATCTATGAACATGATCAAGATATTATGGAAGGCCACAACTCCATCAAATTTGTCTGCACTGACCCACTACTAACCGCTTTGCTAAAGCTAAAGAAGAACGTTAGTGCTGGTGAAGTGTTGATACTGCCTGCTGGTAAGTTATGAACTTTTAGGACAGGCTGCAGTTCAAAACGTGCACATGTTCCTCCACTGAGTAGCACCCTAACTAGATGAACTGATGAAACAGCAGAGGATACTGAGGCACAGCAGAGGACTAATGAATCACTGTAGTACACAATCCAGGTTGATTCGTCTATTGACATTGACAACAAGGCAGCAGTGCTAGTTTCTGTGTGATATATTTTTGAGGAGGATATGTTCTATACACTTTTGTTGACAATCAATACCACAATTGCATAATTTTTAAGAATAATAATTACCTAAGCTGGGGGATGATAGGAATGGAAAGATGATGCTCAAAGGTTACAAAGCCTCAGTTTCATATGATTAAGATACATTTTTTTGAGACACATAGTCTTACTATGTAGCCCAGGCTGGCCCCAAACTAGAGATTCTCCTGCTTCAGCCTCCCAAGTGCTAGGATTACAGGCACATACCATGTACAGTGAATTTTTTAGTGTGTTTTATTTATTTTTTTAGTGTGTTTTAAAAAAATCTATTGCATAACATGGTGAATATGGCTCATAATTGAGTACTATAGATTCTAGTATCACTAAAACAGTAAATCTCAGATCACAAAAAATGTTAAATTTTTGAGATAATTGATGGGTTAGATTTATTTAATCACCACACATTGTATTTAGACATCATAACATCATTTTGTACCCAAAAAATATACATATAACTTTTCAACATATAAAAAGAAAAACATTATAAAATATCAAAATGTTATGTATTCACTAGTAATATATTTACAGACTATAAGGTAAACTATTTGTTATGATTTATATCTAGATGTTCTCCCAAAGCCTCATCCACTCATAAGTGGGGCTTTTGGGAGTGACTTGCTCATGGGTGTGTGAAACTGGATTAGTTTGCTGACTGGTTTAGCATAGTTCTGGATGTGGGTGATGGACTTACTGAAGAGGGAATACCCATCCTGGGTGTAGGTGTTACCAACCTATTGTAGCTTGGATGGAAAAAAGAGGGAAAGAAGAGGCTGGGGATGTGGCTCAGTGGTAGAGCTCTTGCTTTGCATGTACAAGGTCCTGGGTTTGATCCTCAGCATCACACACAAAAAAGGAAAGACAAAGGAAGTCTCACTGCCATGCTGTGAACTGTTTCTCCTTGCCCCCCTGCCATGTTGCCCTGCCACTGAGCCACCCAGTCATGGACTGAAACTGCTACAAACTGTGAGCTAAAATAAACTTTTCCTCTTTGAACTTGTGAGTATTGGATATTTTGTCCCAGCAAAGAGAAAGTAACTAAGACACTATTTCATTAAATATAAAAAGCAGTAAAATACAGATACATGATACAACATGGATGAACATTGAAAACATTACACTAAGTGAAAGAAGCAAGTTATGAAATGTCACATACCATATGATCTCATATATATAAATTTTATGGTGCATGTATAAAGGATCCAGAATAGGCAAATCTAGATATAGAGGGTGCATTGTACATGTATGGGGAGGTGAAGTGGAGGAGAATGGAAAGGTATTAGTACGGGGTTTTGTTTTGAGGTAATGATGGACTGGGGATGTAGCTCAGTGGCACAAGTGCCTGCCTGGCAAATGCAAGGTCCTGAGTTTGATCTCTGGTACCAAAAAAAAAAAAAAAAAAAA